ACCTACTACTTCTACTTCCTACCCTAATGGCTGTCCTTTCTGTCCTCAACTGCAGGGGGAAATGAGGAAAGGATTCCCAGATTGCCCAGGACTGGGAAATCCAGTGTCAGGATTATTATTATTATTATTATTATATCTCCTTCTGCCCCCCACTTTGTGAGGACCGGGGGCATGACAACATGGAACCATGCCAGAGGCAGTTAAAAAATACTGTCTTTTGAAGGGTTTTTTCCTACCTAAACTGGAAAGCTTTTTTTTTTCTCCCAATTTGGATTTTCTATATCAAGATACTAGAAAATCACTTAAGATTTTCTAGAAATATACGTTTAAATCTCCTTTATACTTAAATGCATCCTTTAGATGGTGTTTTTCTAATGTGCATTACTCTACTCGAATACCCTAAAACTGATTATCTGAAAAGATTAATCTAAATTTATAGAGGTTCTTAACCTAGAGTCTACAGACTCCCGAGGGGACCATGGAATCCGTGAACTTGGATAAAAAATATTACATTTTTATTTTCACTAACCTCTAAGTGAAATTTAGCTTTTCATTTAATTATTTTAAAACATTCTTCTGAGAAGGAGTCCGTAGGCCTCACCAGACTGCCAAAGGGGTCCATAACAAAAAAAAGAAAAGGTTAAGGACCTTTGGTCTAAAATGAAGCTAGACCAGAATAGATTAATTTGAAATCAGGGAGGTTAATTAGTACTAAGGTAGTAGTCAAAGAGTTACACAGGGCTTAAAGTAGGTGAAATAAACAAAAATACCCAGAAATGGTTCACCCTTAACTGATTCTGACCTTGATCCAGCTGGTCACTCACCACTCCACGGATGCTCAAGGGGAGGGGTAAAAAGGCAGAAGTGGCTCTCTGGAGCCTCAGAGGTCAGGAAACAAAAACTAAAGCTGTCAGAAGAATGTAAGCTTCTCAAGGACAGGGACCGTTTCTGTTTTCATCATTGTGTCCCCAGGACACTGCTTTGGGCCTTATAAATAAATGTGTGTCCTTTAGTGGATGAATTGTCACTGGGACTGCCATTCCCATTCACTTTAGACACTCCAATTTACAGATAATGAAGATCCAAATTTTTTTTTAAAAAGTGGAGGTGGAATGGAAGAGGGTAGTGAGAATAAAGGGAATATAGGTGTTATGTCAAAATATAATGTAAAAAAAAATAAAAATAAGGGCAGGTAGGTGGCGCAGTGGATAGAGCACTGGCCCTGGAATCAGAAGGACCTGAGTTCAAATCTGGCCTCAGACACGTAACACTTACTAGCTGTATGACCCTGGGCGAGTCACTTGACCCCAATCGCCTCACCAAAAAATTAATTAATTAATTAGAAATATAAAAAAATAATGTAGGTTATATAGTGCCAAGATTAGTATGGTTGATAATCTCTCTCTTTCTGTCAGGGATTGAGAGTCTTTTTTTTTCCTCCTAAGAAAAGGTATTGATTCCAGGAAAACAAATCAAATCATAAGCAAAAAGCAACTTTATTTCATTCATCCACCTATTCAGGAGTAAATGTGATGTGTTAGATATAAATATGACAATAATAACTAATACTTATATATAGTGATTACTGTATGCCAGGCACTGTGCTAAGTCCTTTACAATGATTAGCTCACTCAATCCTTACAACAACCCTGTTATTATAATATAATATAATGTTATATAATATATGTAATATAATATAATAATAATAATAATATAATAACAGGTGCTATTATCCCCATTTTATAAATGAGGAAACTGAGGCAAACAGTGGCTAAGTGCTTTGCTCAGGGTCACACAGCTAATAAGTGTTTGAGGCTGGATTTGAACTCAGGTCTTCCTGACTCCAGGTCCAGTGCTCTATCCATTGTACTACCTAGCTACATTTCATATATGTGTATGTATGTATGTATGTATGTATGTATGTACATATAAAATTACATATCAAAAGAATGCATTTCTAAAAATATTCTAAATACATTTCCAAAATAACAGGAACATAATGTATAAATATTAATGTGCTTATGCACTTTTAAGATTAAGAACAGTGAACCTGAAATTCTATTCACTAGATGCAGCATAAGGTAAAACTATTTCAGCTCTGTAGCATGATTAGTTGAAGAGACAGAGAGAGAGGATGAGAGAGGTGATAAAAGAGAAACAGATACAGTGAAAGACTTGGAAAGGATGTTAGTGCAGAGTTGAGGTGGGGAGGGTGGGAAGTCAGGACACAGGGGAGTGAGCACATCCCCAGGAAGATCCTTCTTGACCTTCCCCTGCAGTGAGGCTTCAGTAGGGAACAGAGAAGGGTCCCATCCCTTGCAGCATGGAGAGGAGGGCTGATGGAAGGAGAGTGCATAAACAGACTCCTGGCCAGCCTTCTAAGAGCAGGTCTGCAGCAATGTCATGTTGGTGTTCAGCTCTTGAGTACTTTCCCTGGGCCTCTGTTTTTGTGTGGACCCACCTGAATGCTGGCCCTCTGGGAGAGAGGGCAGAAGAACGTAGGGCATGTATACCTCTCCCTTAAGTGTCAATGTAGGGCCACAATTGTGTGGTTGTGCCCTGCATGAACCCACACACAGGTCACACTGAAAGAGGGAGTTGAGCTAGGATGAGCAATATCTCTGATTCAGTCTCAGGCTACATATTGAATTTGCCAGCTAAGTTCATTTTCCTATCCCTGGCAACGAATGTGGGATGTAACAGAGAAAGATGAAAAGGTAAAGAAGCTGTCATACATGGAGCTTGATCAGTAGTGGAGTCGGCCAGATGGCTGGGACCTGAAGACCAGATACCTGTAGGAGGAGGGAGGGCACGTGATGGCCAAAGGTCCCAAAGCAGGCCTTAGGAGAAAGCTCAGCTAGGCAAATACCCATTGTAAGAGTGGGTAGCAGGGGCAGCCAGATGGTGAAGTTATGAGGATCTAAGTTCAAATCTGGCCTCAGACACTTACTAGCAGTGTGACCCTGGGCAAATCACTTAACCCCAATTGCTCTCCCCACCCTCAAAATGGGTAGCGGCCGGCAATAGAGCATTGCTGGTAATGAGGTTTGGTGGCCAGTCATGGAGACTGTGGCCCTCCATGATCTGCTGCTAGTAAATAGACCCTCAGATGTAGAAATTATGGCTCAAGGATATGAAAAGGTTTGATTTAGGTGATGCAGAACTCAAGTTGGTACTGGGTGAGAAGCCAAGATGGGAACGCAGACATAGAACAAGACAAGACAGGGACCTAGTTCCTGGAACTGAGTTACAGGATGGACATGATCAGAGAGACATAAGGCAAGAAATAGTCACTAGAGGGGCAGGTAGGTGGTACAGTGGATAGAGCACCCTCCCTGGAGTCAGGAGGACCTGAGTTCAAATCCGGCCTCGCACACATAACACTTACTAGCTGTGTGACCCTGGGCAAGTCACTTAACCCCATTGCCTAGCCAAAAAAAAAAAAAAGAAAAGAAAAGAAAAAAGAAATAGTCAGTAGAACCAAGGCAAAAGATGAGAGCAGGATCAGTGTTGATGGCTGCTAGGTAGTGTGGTGGACAGAATGGACCTGGAGTCAGGAAGACCTGAGGTCAAACTGGGCTCCACACACTTGTCCGGCCAAGGGCAGGGTGGCATCAACTCACAGCATGGAGGGTCTTATTGTATCAGGGCCAGACCCAAACCTTTTATCACTGGAGGCTCTATCTACAGTAATCTAGTCATCCTGAAGGCTAAAGCAGTCTCAAATCTAGAGGCTCATCTTTTGCATTTTCCATTGCATCATTTTTCATTTTTTTCATCTTTTTTTTTTGTTTCTTACCTTGCTTACTATAAGAAGAACTTATGAATTGATTCTAGTTTCAAGTTATTACTTGCCTTGTAGGGTTGTTTTGGAAGAAAGAACTTTGTAAAACTTAAACTGTCATAAAATGTGAGTTGTTACTGTTTTGTTAGTTACAAGGAAGAAAAGATTCTTAAACAAGGGGGTTGTAAGATATTTTGTGTCTTAGACCCCCTTGGCAGTCTGATGAGACTTATAGACCCCTCCTCAGAATAATGTTTTAAAATGATTTTTAAAAATGCTAAATTTCGGTCAGAGGTTGGTAAAAGTAAGGATATAATAATCTCCATCCCACTTCCCAATCTAAGGTCACAGATTCTCTGAAATCTAACCATCGACTTCCAGATTAAGAACCCCTTTCTAGAGACTTTCCTCTCTAGACTTCTGTGATATTGTTCTCTCTCTATTCTCCTCTTTCTGACCACTCCTTTTAAAAGTCTCATTTGTTTGTTCTTTATCCACGTCACGAGTCCTAAATATAAGGGTCCTCCAAGACTCTATTCTGGGTCCTCTTCCCTTTTCTCTCCATAATATCTTACCTGGTTGTCTCATCAGTTCCTGTGGGTTGAGTAAAAACATCCCAAGAACTCCTGCTTTAAACTGTTTGCTTTGGGGAAATGTAGGTAGGATAATGTAATTATCCCAAGGGTTGGCAAAAACATACTGAATAGCTTTCCTTTGTTAACTCTAAAGTCAACATTTTGAGATTGTCTCAAAGCCTAGCGAAAGAGTTGTACATCCATTTTATAAGCACAGAATAATCCTACAGCTCTGAGCAAAACCCTCCTAATAGATGTTTTCTTCTGCCACGTGCCTGAGCTGATTCCAGGCTTCCTCCCCAACTTTACCTCCTGACTTCCCTGGCTCCCTTTAAGTCCCATCTTTTATGTAGAGCCTTTCCCATCTCTTCTTAATTCCAGTGCCTTCCTTCTGTTAATTATTTCCTGTTTATGTTGTATGTAGCTTGCTCTGTATGTATTTGTTGGCATATTGTCTCTCCAATTAGACTGTAAGCTCCTTGAGAGCAAGGACTGTCTTTTGCCCCTTTTTCGATCTCCAGCGCTTAGCACAATGCCTCGCACATGGTAGGTGCTTAATAAATGTTGACTGATGATTGACCGCAAACAACACAGCAGAACCTTCACTTACCTTCCATTTTTTATTTTCTGTTCTTCCAAAGAGTTGCTTGAAGATGAATCCAGATGATAGATTAACTTGTTCACAGCTCTTAGAGAGCCCTTATTTTGAATCTTTTCGAGAAAGTCAAGTTAAAAGAAAAGGGCGTAATGAAGGAAAGAACAAAAGACGATCACAACAGGTACTGTAAAGTAATGTTAACACTTTTAATCTCTGAGCATCCATTTTCCCTTCCCTTCAAAACATCACTAGGTCAAGACATTTTTCTTTACGTCATTTTAATGGAGATTTCCCAGCCCAATAAGATGGTGGTTGAAGGCGTGCTAGTCCAGTTGAAAAAAGGGTTGCCAGAAGGATGCCTAATTATCTTTTTCTAATGATGAGTGTATGTAATGAACTTGAAGAGCGCGAGAACTTACCCGTCAAAGACAAAACAGGTGCAAATTCTAGTTCAAAACATTTACATATAACATAGGGATTTATTATACATATTTAGATATGCCACAAGTCAGATCATGCCCCCAAAGCTGCTCCATACAGTAACAGCCTGATACAATAGGGTTAGGTTCAAACCTAAGACTGACATAAGGGGATGCCACTGTACCAGCATAGCCCCAGGAGAAGGCAAGGGGAACTCTGCTCTTCCTTCCTTTTAGAGATGGCTGGCCCAGAATGCTGGCTTCCTCTAGCTGTTCTATAAAGCCAAGGTCAAGTTCTAGCTATTTAAAAAGATGTGAAGTCACAGAGATCTTGTAACCTAAAGCTGCAGTATCAACAATACTAAACTGGCAGTTTATAAGATTTTAAAGTTTGCAAAGCTCTTTACACAACCCTGTGAGGTAGGTGCTATTATTATCTCCATTGTACAGATGAGGAAATTGAGGCATCAATAAGCTAAATGATTTACCAGGGTCACATGGCTACTAAGGGTCTGAGGTCGTCCTGTCCTCTACCTACTGTGCCACCTGACTGCCACCTACTGTGCACCTTCCAGATCTAAATCCATAAACTCGTGATTCTATTACATAACAAGAAAGGCTTGTGGATATATGAAAAAATATTAGTCTTATCAGTTCTTATATGATGTCTTAAATTTGCTAAAGAGGATTTTGGTCATCCAAATACTCACTGCATTGGGGACTGATAATCCAATTGGCATTTGCTTGTCCTCCAATGTATTATCTGGAATGTGATGATTTCATTTCTCACTCACATGAATACTATAATAAAAAGAGAAGACAGAAGAAGAAAGCAGATGAGTCAATCTGACCCCTTGAGAGTAGCTCTAGTAAAAGTGTATTGGGAGCAAAAGTTCAGAAAAATGAGGAAAGTTTCAATTTCATATTATCTGTGGATTGTGACTATGCATTCCCCTTAGCCGTTTCTGGATAGGCAGAAATAAGCTCTTTTACCCTTTTCTGTAAAGCTGCATTACTGGTTTCCACTGGTTTTTGCTCAGTGCCTTTAAGTCAAATAACAAAAAGGAGATGCCCATTTAAAGTCACCTGGAGCCTTATACATGGGCTAAATGGGTTTTTACATTTTGAGTGCACAAGTACAACTGAACTTATATTCTAGATCTATAACGAATAATCACAGGTGTGTCTTTGCTAATAATTCACATGCATGCATATTTGAATGTGAATATATGACATATATAATTATACATAAAATATGTAAGCTATGTAACATATTATATGTGAATATTTTTTATGCTGAGTATGTGTGACAATGGGAATACAGAATATATATATACATATATAAATGTGAATTATTAGCAAAGATGCTTAGAACTTTATACATGTGTATATGTGCATAAATATGTATAGATATAGTATTTATTTATATTTGTATAATATATTATATATGTATATATATTTGGAGAGGCCACGTGGTATAGCACATAAAAGAAGCAGCCTTGGAATTAGGAATACTTGAGTTTAAAGCTTGCATACCAGCTATGTGATCATGGTCAAGTCATTTAACATCTTAGTGACCTAGGACATGTTCTTGAAACAATGCATTACAGAGTTTTCTGTCTGTATAGTGGGAGGAAGTCTTTACATCTTGGTCAAGACCAAAGATGCTAGATTTAGAGATAGATAGATAGATAGATAGATAGATAGATAGAGAGATAGAGAGATAGATAATAGATAGATAGTAGATAGATAATAGATAGATAGATAGATAGATAGATAGATAGATAGACAGATAGATAGATAGATAGATAGTCAGATAGATAGATGGATGGATGGATGGGAAGATAGATACATGGCTAGATAAACAGCCAGATAGATAGATACCCGGTCACACAGCTAGTAAACATCTGAACCAAACTTAAACTTGGATCTTTCTGACTCCAGGTCCAACACTCTATCCACTATACCACCTAACTACCTCTAGGAAGTATAGATACCTACATTTCCAAAGAAGTAAAAAGTAAATAGGTGAAATAATTTCTTTTAAAAATGTGTCAAGGGCAGCTAGGTGTGGCAGTGGATAGAGCACCGGCCCTGAAGTCAGGAGGACCTGAATTCAAATCCAGCCTCTAACTGTGTGACCCTGGGCAAGTCACTTGACCCCAATTGCCCCCCCAAAAAAAGAAAGAAATAAAAATAAAAAATGTGTGAAGTATTTTCCTATTTAATTCATCAAACATTTATTGAATATTTCCTATGTGCAGAGCCCTGCACTGGTGCCAAGGGAGACAAAAAAATAATAATAATCAAGACATGCTCCTTGTCCTCAAAAAAATTATAGTCTTTTATAAGAAATATGTAGATAACAACAAGGTACATTGTACGAAGGAGAGTATCATAAATGCACAAGAGAGGCACCAGCTAACCAAATACAGTACTCTGAGAGTTCACTTCTGTCTGGGGGTCAGGAGAGGTTTCATGGAAGGAGTGTCACTTGGATTGAGCCAAATTTGAAGGGGTTGGGGTGGAAAGTAGGTTTCAATAGGTGGAGGAGAGAACATTTTTAAGTGTAAAATTACAGTGAACAAAGTCAGAGAAAACACGCAACGTTTCCTGAAGAATGGTCGGGTATTCTGAAATGTGCATATTGAGATAGATCTCAGGGGGCAGCTAGGTGGTGCAGTGGATAGAGCACCGGCCCTGAAGTCAGGAGGACCTGAGTTCAAATGTGGTCTCAGACCAAACATTTGACACTTACTAGCTGTGTGACGTTGGGCAAGTCACTTACCCCCAATTGCCAAAAAAAAAAAACCAAAAAAAAAATGGATAGATCTCGGTACATTGACACAAACTCTGAACTGAGTAGTAGATCCAAACATTCTAAGTTTCAAAGGTACCAAACCTTAGCAATGACTTGGCTTAGTTCTGAGCTTCAGGTCTTTTAACACTTTCTCCCCCTGTATATTCTCTTCTTAGACATCTAGGCGTATGGTGGTGCAAGTAAAGATTCTTTTTCAATTTCCTGTATTTTTGTCTTGTTCTGCTATTAGAATCAGCTGTTGCCTCTCATACCGGGAAGCCACAACACCCCCACACCTGATGGAAGAAGACAGGTCCTCCAATTAAAATTTGATCATCTTCCAAACATTTAGGAAAATCTTCAAGTGGAAAAGCAATTTAACATGTACAAAATTCTCTGTGCTCTAAAGAGGAATTCTCAGTGTTTCAAATGCAAATAAGCCACGTGAAAATTAAGATGCCTTCTGGGTTAACTCTGATTATTGTTGATTCCTTTCCATTTTTTTCTTCAGATGCCAACTTTTATCTTCTCTTTATGTAATAAAGCCTGGCGCTTCACTCCCAAAGTGGCCACTTGCAGAAAGCATCAGAGCAGGTCCTGTCATAGCAATTCATATCGAGAATTTGTAGGGGGCTCCTTTGATTTATGAAAAAAGTTTGTGAATATTATCTCCTTACAGCTAGCCACATAATGTCTTTAAAATATACTAATAGTCTACCTAGTTCTTCCTTCATCAAGGGCTCACGTTAATTTTTACATTTTATTGATGCATTTTTTAAAAACAGTTTTGTCACTCCCCAATGCCCCATCTATGCTACCCTACCTTATAAATAGAAGAACAACAACAATCACTTAAGTAAAATTACCCTACACAGCAGGAGTTCTTAATTTTTTTCTTTTGTAACAGACCCTTTTGTCAGACTGGTGAAGCCTATAGACCCCATCTCAGAATAATGATTTTAAATGTATAAAATACATAGGAACATGCAAAGGAAACAAATTATATTGAAATACAGTTATAAAAAAAATTTTAATCAAAGTCCCCAGGTTAAGGATGTTGCTATACAGCAACCACAACTATATGATTGTTTAATAGTTCACATGTCTAATGCACCACCTCTCTCCTGAGAAGAACAAAGTGTGCTCCCCAAATCTATCCTCTGGAACAGATATTGACCTTTGCATTTGATCGGAATTCTGTTGTCTTGCAGCATTGCTTTCATTTGCTTAATTATCATCGTTGTGCACATTGTTCTCTTTGTTCTGGTTTCTTAGCTCTGCATGAGTTTTTTATACAAATCTGCCCATATTTCTATGAATTCTTCATATTTGCTAATCCTTATAGAACAGCAATACTCTATAATATTAATACATTAAAGTTTGTTCAGCCATTTCCCAATTGATGGACACTTTCCAACATTAGGATATATACCCAGTATTATAATCTATGCTGGGTCAAAGGGTATGAATAGGTTAGTAACTTTTCTTGAATAATTCCAAATTGTTTACCAGAATGGTTAGACCAATTTAGCTTCGTCAGTAGTATATTAGTATGCTTACTTTCCCACAACCCCTCCAACATTGACTTTTTTCATCCTTTTCTATCTTTGCCAATTTAATGAGAATCAGGTAATATTTCATAGTTGTTCTAGTTTGCATTTCTCTTATTGGTAGCAATTTGGAGCACGTTTTCACATGACCTTTGGCAGTTTGTATTTCTTCATTTCAAAACTATTCATATCCTTTAAGCCCTTGTCTATTGGGAAATGGATGTTAGTCACATATATGTATAAATTTTCTATAGATCTTGAAAATCAGACTTGTATCAGAACTGCTGATGCAAAGGTTTTTTAATTCCCTATATGTAGCTTCTCTTCTTATTCTACTTGCAATGATTTTGTTCATGTAGAATCTTTGAAATTGTCTCTTTGTATAATTACTTCCATCCTTTGTCTGGTTATAAATTCTCCCCCAGTTGTGAAATATATAACCTTCCATTCTCTGCTTTTTAAAATGATGTGACATTTTATTTGAGTATTTGGGTTTTTGTGTTTAGATTTGTGTTTAGATCACTTACCTATTTGGAATTTATTGTAGTAAAAGGTATGAATTTCTAGTCTAAACTGCTTTCCAATTTTCCCAGCAATTTTTGGCAAGTAGGAAGTCCTTCCCTCAGGACTTGGGCTCTTAGGTTTAATGGTAATAATAATAACAATAATAATAACAATGGCTAGCATTATATAGTGCCTACTATGAGCCAGGCACTATGTGAAGTGTTTTATAAATATTATCTCATTTAATCCTCACAACAGCCTTCAAAGGTAGGTGCTGTTATTATCCTCATTTTGTAGATGAAAAAACTGGGACAATCAGAAGTGAAGTGACTTGCTCGGGGTCACACAGCTAGTAAATGTCTGAGGCTGAATTTGAACTCACATCTTCTTGGCTTCAAGCCCAGCTCTTTTATACCATTTAGCTGTCTATTTAGTGTTTATTGAACATTGAGCTACTGTGTTCATTTACTCTAAGGTTTTGCTTATTTAGTCTGTTACACTGATCTACTTTTCTATTGTTTAACTATTACCAAATAGTTTTGATGATTACTGCCTTGTGATATAATTTGACATCTGGCCATGCCAGGTCCCTTCATTCCTATTCTCTTACCCTCTGTCTCCATTTACCTTTAAGTTCTTGACCAAATGTATTTCATTATTTTGTCTAGCTCCATAAAGTAGCCCCTTGGTAATTTGATTTTTTTTTAATACCTATCATTTCACTGATGTAGGGAGCTCCAAGGAGGCAACTTCTAGCAATGCAGATTTGTAACTTTTCAGAAATTTTGAGTCTTAGAGTATTGCTTGGGATGCTAGAAGGTTAAAGCTATTTGCCCGGGGCCACACTGCAGTATGTAGTAGAGGCAGTAATTAAACCCTAGGATTTCCTAATTCACTATCCATAACATCACGCTGCCTCTCATGGAGCTAAATATGGAAATTAATTTAGGTAATATCATGATTCTAATTAAACTGGCCCAGCCATGAAAGAAAAAAAAGACCAACTCTCAAATTATTCATCTTCCTTTCTTTCTGTTGATTTGATTTGATGACTCTGTAGTGTTAATCACATTGGGTTTTTTCTCCGTTTTGGTTGTTTTTTCCCTCTGCTCCAATTTCTAACCAGATGTCTTGACTAGATTTTATGCGGAAGCATCATGAAACTAGAAGTTGTCTAGGATTTCCCTTAAGCCCAAGTCAAATTATACCTATACTATCCCACAGAGGTTTCTATACCAGAAGAGTCAACAGCAATCTTTAGCAAATTCTGACATTCTAAGGCCCTCTTGCTCCCATTGAGGGCCAGTTTTGCATTTTGTCCTCCAAAGAAAGCAAATATGTCTAGTCATTATCTCTGGATGACATGTATTTGACCTATGACAATAATGATGGCCTGTGGCATGGAGTTACCTTTGTCTCTTCTAGATAAGTAATCTCAATCCCTTTTATCATGTTCTTGTTCAAAAATACTTAATTATCTTCATTCTTCACTCTCTCCAGTTCTCCCAACACACTTTTATAGAGAGATTAGAGTAAAGCTTATTTCTTCTGAACTTCATTTTTTGACTTTCACTGGGAAAAACAAATGCAGTGGCAAATAAACAATTTTTCTGTGGCTGTCTTACCTATGGCATTTGTGAGAGATTTTCGCAGTCGAACTCAACCACACATTTACTTTAGAGGCAGCTGGGTGGTACTGGACCTGGAGTCAGGAAGTCTTCAGTGCAAATCCAGTCTCAGACACTTACTAGCTGTGTGACCTTGCATAAGTCATTTAACTGCTGTCTGCCTCAGTTTCCTCATCTCTAAAATGATAATAACCCCTCCCTCCTCAGATTATTATGAAGATAAAATGAGATGATATTTGTAAAGTGTTTCACAAAGTTTGAGTGTTATATAAGTACCAACTGTTAATTGTTATTGATGTTGAAACATAATTTTTTTTGCCCTTTTTCTTAAATTCCTAAGTACTAATATAAAACCTTCGAAAATACTTTTTTGCTGATAACACAAAGCACTAAAATCAGGTACTATGATAGCAACACCAGTCATCCTGTCTCACTGGCAATAGCTAAAGCACGTACAATTATGTTCCCAGCAGTAATTGAAAGCACTTATTTAATTAACTCCTTACTGCTGCTAGACCTGGCATATTACCTGAATGGTCATGCATTTTTCAGATATGCACTACCTCAGGAAATTCTAACATCTGGGAACCAGGAGTAAAGTTTAAATCATTAATAAAGAAACACCATAATACTTCAGACATTTCCCTGGAGGGCTATTGCGAAAGTCTAAGACACTCAGGAAGAAAAATGCAGTAGATATCTCAGCATGCTACCCCATAGAATCTCTTTCATTTTCCTGGGAGTGTTCATGAGACAGCTGCTGGCACAGTGGATATAGTGCTAGGCCTGGAGTCAGGAAGAGGTGAATTCAAATCCAACCTTAGACACTTTCTAGCTATGTGGCTCTGAGCAAGTCACTTAACCTCTGTTTGCCTCAGTTTCTTCAATTGTAAAATGGGTATGATAATAATAGCATCTACCTCCCAGTGTTGTTGTGAGGATTAAATGAAATAATGTTTGTGAAAGTGCTTAGCACAGTGGCTGGAATGTGTTAAGTGCTATATAAACATTAGCTATTATTATTATTGTTATTATTATTATTAATTAGGCTGATGGCTCTGTGCATAGAGAGAAGACATGCAAGAGGTGTTGCAGCGGTAAAATTAATGAGACTTTAGAAATTAAATTAGTAAGACTTAGCAATGGATTGGATATAGGGCATGAAGAAGAATGAAGAGTTGAGGATGACTCTGACATGGCAGAAGGATGATGAAGATCACATGAGAAAATATTTGTTGAAAACCTGTTAGCATGTGCCTGGCAAGTGGTAGGAGCTCTATATGTGCTTTCCCTTCTCTTCCTTCCTTCATTTGATAAGAAATGACAACCCTGGATGTATGATAGTTCCTTGTTCATTTGAAGGATGTTGTCAAGGAGTCATTAGGGCCTCTGTACTTCCCAAAATCAATATAGATGCAAACAAGCTATGAGGGTCTTTTTTAAAAGATGGGAAATCTGGGACATGAGGAAATGATGTAGTTATTTTCACATTCAAGTATGTCCTACAGTTTGAATATAAAGATACCATATGTTAACGGAAGGAGAAAAATTATAGATGAGGAGACAACTTTGTTAAATGATTTCACCTTGTTTTCTGTAGCTTTTATCATCGCAATTATCTCATCACCAGACTCTATAAGCTGACCTTGGCCAATAATACACAATGGAAGACTGCCTATAAATAGTCGGTCTATTAAAAGCTCACATCCATTTTAGCTTCTAATCTGTCATAAGGCAATGAAAAATGGGATTGAAGTTATCATGCCTGGGTTT